ATTGTTTTAGTTAGTGACTGTTTTTAATTTCGTTTCTATTGTAAGTCACTTTGGATAAAAGTGCCTGATACATGCATAAATATAAATGTAGTTTCGAACTAATATGTTGTTTATGTCTCCAATATGATTGTAAGTATGTTTCCAAAAAGTTATCCTTACAGCCATTTAGAAACATTTTGGGCATCAATTCTACTGTATGTGTTATTGAATTGGACCAGTGTAATTTTGGTATTATTTATATTTTTATGAATACTTTTATTGTAGCTTTTTGTAGTTTTTTTTTTTTAAATATTTGGCTTAAATGTATTTTTATTTTCTGTTTTAATATTAGTAATGTATTTATTTTATATTTAATTGTTTATTATCTATTAATTCAATGTTTTGTTTACATTTTTAAAGTTGACGTTTTTCATCTAATATTCATGTTTTATTTCAGCTTCATTTCAATTATTGAAAATATTTGTAATAGTTTTAGTTAACGATAACAACGCTGAATGGACATCATTAAAAACTTGAGGTATTTTCCAGTCTCTACATGTTAAAATGCCCTCGTCTTTGGATTAGGATATTCCCTATGTAAACTTATTTAAGACAAATGACTACAGTCAGTGCTCGCGATGTTCTTTTCTCCATAATTCGGATCACAAGATGATCATTGTTGTGGCAGATTAGCAGCAGACAGGTTTCATTATTATTACACGTGCTGACAGCCCGCGATGATGTCACTGTTGTTCTGTTGCCATGGCACTGATAGCGAAATGTATTCACGGGAAGGTGCTGAGATCTGATTTTGCATATTTTTTGGTCTCTCTGGCATCCTGTATTGCTGGAATCAGTATTCATCCAGGTCCAGGTCCTGAAGCTGCAAAGCAGCCCCAGATCATCACACTACCACCACCATGTTTACTGTTGGTATGATGTTCTTTTTTATGAAATGCTGTTTTGGTTTTACGCCAGATGTAACGGGACACACACCTTTCAAAAAGTTCAACTTTTGTCTCATCAGTCCACAGAATATTTGCCCAAAAGTCTTGGGAATAATCAAGATATTATTTGGCAAATGTGAGACAAGCCTTTGTGTTCTTTTTGGTCAGCAGTGGCTATATATTTAACTTAATTAAAGGTTATATCCAAAGCACTATATTTAATTAAATATCCAGAGCACAATACAATGGTACAGCAAAGGACGTTTTTTTCTGTGAATATTTTATGGTCTTTCCATGGTAGGGTCGCAATTGTGTGCCTTTCTCACTCCAGATATGGTTTTGTTTCTCAGAATTATGTTTGCAGTCTATTCTGAATAAATTTGCTCCGGGTCTTCCTGTTTGTCTCCTGTTGCTCTCTGCTCAGGTCTACCTTTGTCTGTTCTTGCCCTCTTTTGGGTTCAGTTGGGTCTGTTTTTGCCACACAGGATGTAGGTGTGCTTAAGTCTTGTGCTTTCAAAGTGCATACATATTCACACCCACATACTTACACGCACAAATGCACACAATCTTATATCTTACAGCCTAGTAGGCATTACATTCAGGGTTGAATGTTAGCCGTAATGGCCGTTATGCCGAATACAGTCAAACGCAGTTTTTGTTACTTACTAGAGCAGAGAAATGTAACCACGTGTTTGAATCACTGACAGAGCTGTTTGCTTTGAACTGTTTGATATCCACATCGCCTAACAAGAAAATCTCACCTGAATAAGAACATGATTGACAATCGGCTAAGCCACTGTGTTTGTGCTAATGTCTTGGACCTACAGTGGATGACTTGTGACAAGTAGAGCTGAGCAATTAGTATTTGTTTAGCCAGTGCTGCAAAGGACAGAGAGTCAATGAATGGGTCCCTCTAATCCACAGCATAGTCTCACACAAATGTACATGAAACATCAATACACACAAAGGCACAACTGTGCTGGATTTCGAATGCAGGCTTGTTAGAGCGAATGCAGGCTTTTGAATTTAAGACCGCTCTGAGAGTCTTCCTGTCCCTGGCTGCAGTTTTTGTCTAATCTTTGTTTTCATGCTAGCTGTAGGAAAGTGTGCGGTGAAGCCCTGTGTAGGAGGTTGTACGGTTAAGCGTAGCATCTGCATACACAAAGGCTTTAATTTAGCCACAAGAAAGCTGCTTGTGAGTCTGCTGGTTTGAGCAGGACTTGTCGTTATTAGTGGAAACTGAGAAACAGTTCAACATTTGTCTGTTCTCTTGATGGTTTTATTGTTTATAACATATGTAAAGGAGAAAATGGGCATGAACATCCGAAGACAGAGATGTTCTCTAGCCCTTTCACTGTCATCCTAGTCTTTTATTTATTTAGATAAATTTGAGATATATTAGATTTTTTTTAATTTGGTAACACTTTACAATAAGGCCTCATTAATTAATACATTACCTATAACATAAACAATGAGCAATACATCTTTTATTTTTTAGTCTTTGTTAACATTAGTTAAGAAAAATACAACTTTCCATTGTTAGTTCATGTTAGCTCAGGTCCACTGAATAATATTAACACGTGCAACTTTTGATTTTAATAATGTATTAGTAAATATTGACTAAATATTAACTAATTTTATTTTAACTAAGATTATTAGATGCTTTACAAGTAGTTTAAATCATGTTAACAAATTTAGTTAACTAATGCTAACAAATGGAACCTTATTGTAAAAGGTTACTATTTATATATTTATTATAAATACCATGGTACCTTCTTAAGATGGGGTTAGATTTACCGTTGTGTTAGTGAATTTCACAGGTAAAATCCAGTCATTTCAAAATGAATACACATGATCACATGAGTTTTTTGTCAGGATGAAAGATTTTCACTCACAGATTTTGCATTGGGTTCAAGTTGGTCATAAGCATTTGCCATGCTGATCAGCAGAAAGCTGCTTGATTTGAAAGTGACTTCTGTGTGAGCGGTGTTTCTTGCATCATAACATTGAAATTATTTGCTGACAAAATTACACCAGAATTTTGCTAATGTCAGCATACCTTTCATCTTTTCAATATTCTTGTACTGTTAAGTATGTGGGTATTGAGCAGACATAAGTTTTGTCCTCTGGATATTTGTGGAAATATGTATTTTTGTACAATTGTTTGCCCTACATAACAGTACAACACATTGAACAAACCGTCCTTCCATCACCCACAGCCATGAATTAGTTCGCAACAGGTAGTTGACCAGCTAGTTGAAAAGTCTTGTAGACTTGTTCAACTATAGGCTGTACACTCGTGAATATCTTTAATTAATGAAAAATGCAAATGCTGATGTAAACAAACAGTTATATTCTAAGTGAAGACTTAAAAGTTTGAATGGAAATTCTCATTTTAGGTGGAGAAAAAACGAACTTCAGATTCGCATTAAGAAAAAAAAAGTGAGTGGTTGTGATCAGTCCTTTAAGTGCAAATGGATTGTAATTGCTCATTTGCATATGCATAATTGCAGTCCATTTATGCCGCGAGACCCGAAATGTTCCACTCGTTCAAATGAAAAGCTAGAAGCGCAAGAGTGTGCAATAATGGCCTGGCATGAAAAATTTATGGAGGAATACAGTACTCCGGCACCTGCTAAGTGTTGTTGAGGGTGTTTTGTAACGTGGAGAGAGGGAGACAGTGTATCCTAATTAGATTTTTTTTTTTGATGTTTTAAAGTTTGTACTTGTAGCCATTTTCTGTAATCTGCTGTCCCTTGTAAATTAGTTGAAGTTCTTCATAAATCCTCTTCCAAGCCTCTTCATAAATGCCAAGTTCTGTCATGAAACTCTAGATGGCGCAGGCCGATGGGTACGCAAACTGATGATATTCACAGCGTTAAACTACTTGACACAAGCTGATTGGTTCATGTTGTATACTCAGCCAATGAGCTTGCAGCTTTACAATTAAATGGCTGGTTGGCATTCACTAAAGCAGTTTGCAGCATGCTTTCAGACTTCCTCTGAAACCCTCCACCTTGCCCAGCTCCACCTGTATAGATCTGCTGTGGGTTATTATATGTGCTATTTGTGCAGCAGGAGTATGTCTTAAATACTTACAGCACTGTATCGGCATATCTATTGGCAGTAGCAAGTTCCTGTACTTGCTATGCAGCAGCAGCAGTAATCTACAACAATAGAAATAACCAACAACAGCACCAATTCAGCAGCGTAGCAGATCTGTTCCGCTAAGACCAAATACATTAACATTGTCATATCCAAGAATTAGGTGTAAAACCATCTGGAACCCTTTAGTCTCCAGTTCTACCATTTTCCAGAACTGCAACCTACCTGGAGTCTCCAGAAGTACAAGGTGTCAGTCAGGGTCGCAGGGACTAAAAAATGCTTAATAAGAATAACATGCTGAAGTGTTGTGAAATACATGAAGACTGATTTTTATAGACTGATAGGTTGAGAGTGACTCTTGGACCAGCACCACATCCTCTTGTACCACTCTTTCAAGAATTTATCTTCAGGAATCTGGCAGTACGTTTCGGGAGCTCATTTTTAGTCCATCTCCTATCCTGAAAAATCTTGTCTTGTCGAGACTAAAAATGACCTTCCAAAATTCACTGCCAGATTCCTAAAGATAAATTAGTATTAATACCTATAGTATTGATCGGTCAAAATTCTTTCTTTCGGTTAACGGTTAAACGGTCAATATGAGTATCCCTAGTCTCAGGACCAGCGGGCTGTCAGGTAGCTTTCATATATATTTTCCCCAAGTAATTTGCCAGCATCTCGTCCATATACGAATAATTTCCCCATCTACTATCATTCATTGAGCTGCTCCTCTACCCGCTCCTGAAAACCGATGGAAAAGTTGGATTTTATGGTGTCTCACTTTTGAACCATGGCAGCCTCTTTCAAATGCATCACTTTATCCCCTTCATCGCCTCCATTTTTGTTGAAAGGTGTCACTGAAAGAACGGGAAAAAAAGAGGAGCCGTAAAAATCATACCTGAACCGATAATGAGGTCGGAGGATGAATGAATAATTCTCTCATATCTTTTTCTTCTCACTATCTCCTTACAGTGTGACAGCGAGAGTGACATCGATGACAAGGTAAGACTTCTTTTCATGAGTGTTTGTGTGTGCGGGTCTGTTTACCTAAGATTTTAGAGTGAATTTGGAGTTGATAGCCTGTCTGCATGCGTGTTTGTGTGTAGATGACAGAAAATGGCTGCCAGTCTTGTGATTGTTGTTTATTTGCATACTACAGGGATACAAAAGCAAACGTAGTGCGATAGAGAGAAAGTACACTTATTTCAGAAGTGTTTTAAGCTTTCTGTGAGGTGTCATTGTGATTGGCATGTCAGTTCAACTACTTTGAAGTTGTTTGAACTTGACTTGATGTTTGTGCTAGTTAATTCTAGGCAGGAAGTACTATTGTGAACTTCACTTAAATGTGAAAAAAATGCGTCTTTCATCAGCTAAAGTAACTGTAATGCTTAGTTTTATTAGCATTAGTGTAGTATTTTATTAGAATTTTCCATGTTTCCCTTGTCTTGTTTCTTGAAAGATGCATTTGTTAACCTTCTAACAACTAGCCTATTATGGAGATGTAATGCGAGGCTAGTTGCAGAATCATTGCTTTAACCAGTTAGAAATTAACTACCAGGTATATATAATTTGTACAACAATTTTAAAATGTTGTCTCTGCTTTATAATTTGATTTGTTATCTTGACAGTAGATGTTAAATGGCAGAATTGGTCTTATCTGAATTTGCAGGTTCTCTTGTTTAATATGATATATGTAACATCCACACAAGCTTTTCACAGGCTACTCATAAGGTGTCATATTTGCATATTATTTGCAAAATAAACAACAGCTACAGCCATATAGTCGTGGATAGGTAGGCCTCAGATTATACCATTATGTCTAATTTGTTATTCAAATATGCTCTGGTCATGAATGCTTTTGAGATTTGGTTAGCGGTTTGTAGGTTGCCAGATCTTTTTCGATGGAATGTTTTTCCCGGCACCTTTAGCGCTTGTTTATCTTTTAATATTGATAACCCTAATATCTCTGTCACCCTTATAAACAGCATGTAGCTCCAGTGGAAGTGTAACACGTGTTAATTCCCCTGCAGTTAAGCAATTACTCCCTGCTAAATGAATGTGATAGCATAACTAATCTCCTGTAAGCCAAGCTCCCAGTTCAGTGGAAAACGTCTCCGGCGCACTTTATAAATAATACATTGATAGCGAGCAGCAATTTGCATTAACCGCAGCTCATGCTAGTCAATAGGCTTTTATCTCTCTCCTCATTGAGGCAGATGGTAAGAGAAAAACTCTTTGGATTTGACACGATGAAGAGAGGGACTTTTAGAGGGTGCTATTCTTTTAACACTAGTAGGCTTCAAAGAAAAGTGAAATGGGGTATTCCACACTTATTTTAGGGCCCTTTACTGACCTTGTTTCTCTGTGGGTCGTTCTCTCAATCAGCTTGTGTTCCTGAAATTCAAGATGATGATATTGTGGATGTACTTTGTTGGTCACAAGTTTTGTGTTTATGTTCTAGGCATTCAAAACGATCTTAACAGATCTAGGGCAAAGAAAGTAGATGGCAAATAGGCTTTTGTGGCATGCAGTTGGAGCCAAGTTTCAAATTACATTTAAAATACACTAAACATTTATTTCAAAAATATATTTCGTTAAAACCGAAAGCAGCTATTTTATTTTAAAATTGCAATGACTTTTCACAATATTTAAGTATTTTTCGTCAAATAAATGCAGCCTTACTAAGCATAAGAGACTATTGATTTTTAGTAGAACTTACTCTCTGTAACTGATTTCAAGTCAGTTTTTGGTTTGGTTAAAATTTTAAATTAAGGTGAAGAGTACTGGTCCTAGATGGATATAAATGTAACACATGAAGGGCAATTCTGCCCATGTTGAATGCAGACGCAGACTTTTTTGTGCATCAGTGAGAACATGTGGAAGCAATTGCAGCTCTCAGAGTCAGAGATAGTTTGTGTTCCTTCGGAAGAATGGGATCCCAGGTTGGGATTTCTTGTCTCTTCTTCTGGAGATAATAGCTGTAGGTGAGAGCTAGTTGGAAGGCACTGAGAAAATGAGCCATGGTTTGTGTCCAGGTGCGCAGGTGAACACTTCATAGGTGTTTTTCTATGCACTCATCCGTCTTAAACAGCAAGTGTAAGCAAGATAACATGTTTACATCTTCAAAAATCAGAATTGCTTTGCATAAAGAAAAGAATAAACACTGTTATTTGTAATTATGTACATTTAAATCAAGTCTAAAGCATTCATCTTTCCATCCTGTTGAATAGTAACAGGTGTCTTCCCTTGAACAATAACTCCTTTGAACAGTTGCAGGAAGAATGGGAACATCCTCTCTCATGGCGTTTTTATACATTACTACATTATAAAACAGCACGCAGGTGCACTGGAGGGGCGTAATCAGTTGGGCTGATTTGAATAAAATTGCTTCATGTGTAGATTGAGTCCACTTATTAACAAAGACATCATGGCTTGTTCAAAGAAAACAGCACACGCGGTGTATGACCGATGATACCACCTGAGGGTTAGAGCCATCCCTGAAATTACATACACAGTTGTGGCCAAAAGTTTTGGAACTAGCTGGAGATAGTTGATGCATTTTATATTTGCATTCATATAGAGTATTGCATGATTTTTGTTTTGATTGTTCTGCCATTTTTGGAAATCTCTTCTGAAATGGCTGAAAGCTGGTTTTGTGTGTTTCAAACGGAAATGATTTCCTTTAAAGGTTTCTGTAAAGAAAGATTGAACATTGATAAAGACCACAACTGATGTGGTTCAACTCTTTATCTGGATTATCATTTTTGTGCACCAGTATTTCTCAATATTTTTAACAGACTTCTAGCATGTATTAGTATTACTATAGTGTTTTAACCTTCTGGGGTCAGTGAACGCGCCAGTGTTATGGATCAACTGTTGTGTTGATGTGCGCGTGCTCGTGAGCTATTTTACTTCACTTTCCAGCAGAATCGTCAGATGCGAACTACGAAGCTGCAAAGAAAATACGCTTGGTACATTTTTAATATTCTTTAAAAAATTTGATACAACTACACTGTGATATTTCCTTAATATCTTTTTCTAATGTATTTGACGCAAGTGCAAGTTTAACATGATGGTAACAGTGTTCACAAACCACACCCATGTTATCTTGAGACGTTCACTTCAATAGAAAATGACAATTACACTTAAACGTATGTTGTTGTACTCTATCATAGGGAGAAATGTCAGTAGTACACGGAAGAGGTATATTTCGTTTTTTTTTTTTTTTTTTTAGATTTAACCGCAATATTTAAGTTCTACATGTAAATTAACATAAATTGGTAGTGTTAAAATTCAGTGTGTAGTTCATCTTCTGCTCCTATATTTAGTTGTTTTTCTTCGTTTTAAATAAACCAATAAAATAGCAAATGAATTTGACAGTCAGTGTTTACCATGCTTTTTCATTGTAAGCAACATAGCCTACCAGGTGCCAGCTGTGTAAGGGAGGTTACAATTTTTTTAAATAAATGTGCAGAAGATCTGACTCCATTATACAGTCAGTTTTTTACACCTCAGTGGATTTTTGCACAACATTTTGCACAATTGTTTTGAACCAAATGATCTGCAAATTTATCAAATAATGTTTGTACAGCTGTTTCTACAGCTGCATTAAAAAAAATACATAGTCTTGGGTAATGAACAGTTGATTGGAGTCTATATACCTGACAACAATGCACTGACATGCAAATATCTGATAGAAGAGTACTCTAACTTTACGTTTAGAAACATACTCAATTAGAGATAAACAACATTTTCACATTTTTTAATTTAATGTTTTTGTTTTTGCATACTGGGCCTGGTTGAAAAATAATTTATTACAAAAATGAAGTTTCCACGGTTACAGGCTTCTTGAAATTGACAAAAGTATGCAAAAACAAAAGCATTAAATAAACAAAATAAAACTCTTTACCTGCGTGCAGGACAACAGTATCTTCCAGATGTGGAAGGTCTGTCTACACAGTCCCAGTGGTACTATTTTCTACAGTCCATGCGTTCAATCTAAAGAGGTAAGCACATTTAAAAAAGTTACATATTGCCATGATACAAGAGAACAGTTACTACAGCTTTCTCAGTGTATGCTTTTCTCAACCATTGATCAGGTTCGCTTTTGCATATATTCTTCTCTCCACAAGAACGGCAAAGGTCTGAAAGTTCATCTTTTGACAACGTGGATACATTTTGGTCATGAGTATGATAAAATGCTCATTTATGAATAAAATGCTTGAAAAGTGGTTCACAAGCCAGTGAAACTGTATTAAGAGGCTGTTATGCTTACCAGTTTCTCTTAAAAAGTGTGATGGTAATATTTTTTCTGCATCTCCACAACCCCTCCTCCATCAGCTGGAAAATTTTTTATGTTCCAAATCCTGACACAAAATGTTTGGTGGCATGCTATCATCAGGCTACAAGTATCTGAGTGGCACATTGTTTGCTCCCTCAACCATAGAAAGTAGTTCATTGTTTTGGTGATTAAAATCCATGAAAAAAACTAAAAGGTTCCAGACATGCTAAGTCTAATTAATTACAGTACATTAAATATGCAAATAAATGATAAAATAGCAATAGTTTATATATTTTATTAACATTATTGACAAGGGACTGTCTGAGTAAACAAGAATAAAAAAAATAACATTATGAATCTGAATAATTTATTTTTATTAAAATATTTGGGTCAGTAATATAAACCCATACATCCACATCAATAGCAATATTTGCGTATAACAGGAGGGTTAAAAATGGGAAATGTCCTTTACATTTTTTTCATAACAGATTGCATAAATCTGTATGATTTTCTTTGTACACTACAATTGTTTTCTGCCCTCCCTGGATATTCCTTGACACTTTCTCTGCTGCGAAGTGTAGTGTCTCTCACTGCACTCACGTGAAAGATGTGTTTACATATTTTAACATTGACACTTCATCTGAAATAAATATGTAAGCTTTCTCTGCTGCTTCAGTTTAAAGGGGTCATATGATGTTGCTAAAAAGAACATTATTTTGTG